AGTTTATTTAATCAATTATCTATTATCAGGCACTCGGGTTATTTCCAGATCTAGCCAGTCACTTTCATTTTCTACTGTGCTTTCATTATTTCAGACTGTGGCAGTTACATTGCATGCTCAGATACTGTTTGTACTCTTGAAACACAAATGAGAAAGAATTTTCTGTATGATGATGAGTTCTCATGGCCATACAAGAACCTGAGATAAGAAAGAAGCAACTAAGAGGGTTTAAGTGGTTTAACTCAATTTTGGCATCCTATATTTAGATTCTGCTTGATCTCTCTGATTAAAGCCTGGAATTTCTCTACTGAATCACAACTTTTCACAAACATAAAACATTCTTAGGTCTTGATTTTCCCACTAGTTTCCTAGGCCTTGTCCCAATGCACAGTATCTGAAGGGGAGTTTTCCTGGCAGGATGCAAGGGCAGCAGCAGAACTCTGAACCCAGTCTTCTGTTCTGGGCCTTCTGTTCTTCAGAGACATGTGATATTTTAGTGTCTGAAAGTGTCCCACTGACAGAAAGAGACGACACAAGGAACTGAAGGAATACAACCCAGTAATGCAGGTCTGTTAGGGCTTATGTGTCAGCAATCTGGAAAGAGTGACCTCTGACTCATTTTCTTTTTTTTTCATTTTTATTAGTGACAAACCATGAGGTACAGTTGTAGACTTACAAATTTTTGTGTTTGGGATTCAATTATGCAATGATCAAGTACCTATCACTCCACCAGTGCCCATTTTCCACCACGACGGATCCTAGTATCCCTCCCACCCTCATATCCCCCATCACATCCTGCCTCTGTGGCAGTGCATTCCCTTTTCTTATCTCTTTACTTTTGGGTGCTGTGGTTTGCAAAAGAGGCATTGAGCGGCAATCATGTTCGGTCTAGGTCTATAGTCTCCTTTCAGCATGCTTCTCCCATCCTGGGAGGATCCTCCAACACCCTTTATTTGGTGCTCCCTTCTCTATCTGAGCTGCCTTTCCCCCTAGCATGTGTGACTGCTACAAAGCACAAGAGTCAAGTGGTTAGAAGATATCATCATACACAGAATAGTGAAAGGAGGACTCATTTTCCTAGAAATGATAAATAAGCCACCAAATCACTCTTGGTTTCTGCACTCTAGATGGCCTGATGATAAGGGCTAAAATGTAAACATATAGGGCACATATCCTATTCATTCAAGTCACTGAACACCAATGTCAGTTGTGATAATTGCTTGTCTAGTCTTTTTTTTTTAAATGAATAACCGTGAGATACAGGTACAGACTTACAAACTTGCATGATTATGTTTCAGTTATACAATGATGGAGCACCCATCCCTCCAGTGCACAATCTCCACCAGCATGTTCCCAGTATCCTGCACCCCAAACATACCCAGCCTGTCCTCCCATTAATGACACCCCCGCCCCCTCTGTGGCAGGCACTTCTCCTTTACTCTCCCTCCTTTTGGGTGTTATGATTTGCAATAAAGGGACTAAGTGGCCATGATGATTGGTCCCTACTGTACTTTCAGCACACATGTCCAATCCCAAGCAAGCCATCCAAGCATCATTCACTTAGTGGTCCCTTCTCTATTCCAGCTGCCTTTACCCCAGCATGTGAGACCGGCTTCTAAGCCATGGAGCGATCCTCCTGGCCCTTATCTCCACTATCCTTGGGTCTTAATCTCCCATTCTGTTACTTTATATTCCCAAATGTGTGAAACCATTCTATGTCTGGTCCTCTCTTTCTGATCAATTTCACTTAGCATGATACTCTTCATGTTGATCCACTTAAATGCATTTAGATGATAATTTCATGATTTCATCTTTTTGAACAGCTGCATAATATCCATTGTGTAGATCTACACTATGGAGGCTTGTCTTTTATGCCCCCTGAAAAAAATTAGAAACCTGAGCCTTCTTCATGTTTGTTGTGGTTTATAATAATGCTCATTATATAATCTCATGTAGAGCTATTCACATTGTCGATTTATTGCAATAGTCTTATTAACATAGAAGAAGATAAATTAAGGAGAATAAATGACTTGGGATCTGGGTAGGTCAACATAGACCCTAATCCAGGAGTCACATCTAAGGAATTCCATTTTCTGCCACATCATTTATAATGAAATTTCATTTTAATGAAATCTTCATCAAAATTCTTTAAATAAGGCATTTTCTGAGGAAGAATCAGGATTGTAGAGACTGCAGTTACCCACTAATTCCATTCTCCTCAGAAATATTACTGAGGGTGTGGGAATAGGGCTGCATGGCTCTGAATGGCACTAAGAACCTGGCCCTATCATCATTGGGCACTGTTTTTGAGGAGGGCAGAAGTAAGGCACCAACTGCTTTAGTTCTACCTTTCTTTTCTTCCCCTAGCTGGTTGCTAAATGTCATAGAGGAACACACAGTGTAAACAAAATTATTTTTAAAAGGGAAATGCACAAAAATGGGAGAGGATGTGTTCTCAAGACTCAGGTTATTAAATAATTGCAGTTCATTTAAAAAATAATTGCAGGAGCTGGAGTGGTAGCACTGTGGGTAGGGCATTTGCCTTGCACGCAGCTGACATGGTTAGATTCCCAGCATCCCCGAGAACCACCAGGAGTAATTTCTGAGTGCAGAGCCAATAGTATCCCCTGTGAATCGTCGGGTGTGACCCAAAAAACAAAAACCAAAAAAGCAAAAAACAAACAAAAAGCCACAATTGCTATTCTTTCTTACAAATTCAAAATGATGAGCCACCAAAATTTTAAAAACACATTTCTATAAATAATTATAAAAACCACTATATTTTCTAATAAAAATGAAATTATACAGGCAATGATGTATTTTTGAGATATTATTCCAAAGAAATTATACAGATGTTGTTTGATGACAAAAAAGTAAAGGAAACAATTTGATGGAATGTAGAAAAGAAGAGTTCCATTACGCAGAAAAAGTCCCAGAAACTTCCTTTTCTGAAGAAAGCAAGGAAGATAGACTCCTCTACTTTTATTACCGAAACCATTTACATATGCTCATTGATCATGCATCCAGGAAACAATATCTCTGTGCTTCACAGCCTGATTCCCATTTCCTCTGACTATGGTGCATTGAGGATAAGGAGAGTGAAAAATTGTGAGGACAGCCATTTGAAATGTTTTCTCCCACCAGGTTGTGAGTATGCAGTGAGCAAGGAAAATTTCCTAACTGCTGGACAATCTCACAGGCCCCTGAATTTCTATCTTTTCTTGGTGCACACAAGTGGCTCTTAGTGTGAGATTTCATGGATGTGCCTTAGGGCAAAAACCCAGCAGAGGCCTTGGAAATAAACTGATATGATTACCTGCTTTACATTCTACTTTTAGGTGGCAAACTGATGCCTGTTGAGAGGAAGACTATAGAGTTTCAACTTCATTTGAACCCTTCTCTGCCCCTGAAGAAGACTCCTCAGCAGGAGTGGAAGTTGGTGAGAGGGAGCTAATTAATTTAACCGTGAACATCTATGAGTTCCAATGAGACCACAATGTCTTTAGTGTCATGATCACTCTGGGGATGTGTCTAAACATTAGATCTGATGAAACCTCCATCTCAGCCTGTGCATCTCCACCCCCCTGTGATACACTTCCCTGTGAGTGGTTTTTGTGTATTCTCTCACTGACAGCCATGTGCCTGGGCAGCACACAGAGCAATGGGATTTGAGTCTGTGAAGTTTAGAAATAGAGTACACTTTGCTTGTCTGAGACTCAAATTCTACTTGACTCTTTTAAATTTTGTATTATTATGGTAAGTCCTTTTTATTTCTATCTTCCTTATAAATACTACAGAAGTATATCATCTCATGAAATCTACTGATATCATTTCCAGAAGGAGTAGTTTTATTCATATTTGCAATTAAATTCTTTTTCTATGATTATTGATTTGAATAACATTTACATTTCTTTTTGTTTGTTAGTTTGAACAGGAGAATTTTTTTCATCCCATAAAAGAGATTAGGGTATGACGGGAAATTTAGAATTTTTAAGAGTTGTAATAAAATTTAGTTGTCAATTGTATGATATGCTTTCAAGAAAAATTGAAAAATATGCAAATAAACCAAGGACGGACAATAAGAAACAGTCCTATGACACAGTTTTCAATAATTTACTTGTTGATTTAAATTTTTCGCAATTATATTTTTTACACTAAAGAAGAAAAGTGGAAAACTTTTCTCTGTCAGCTGTGGTGACAGTGTGGGTTGAGACATCTTTCACATTTTTGACAGAATAAAAATTTGACAGAATCAGCAAGAAGGGTCATTTAAAATATGTATAAACACATGTAAATGTGCATTAATATGGATAATACATAAAATGTATACATTTAAAATATATTTGTATGCCTACGTATATATATTACATGTATAAATATGTATAATGACATAAATATAAAGACATAATCATAAAATATAAAATAAAAACTTTATCTGATGTTGTATGCTCATATTTTTCTCCTCCTCATTTAGTTTCTATTCGTTTTAGTCTATGTTTTCCTAGCTGTACAGGAATGTTTGGGTGGATGAGATCCGGTTTGGTTTTTTTGTTTGTTTGTTTCTATTTTCTATAATTTATAAGTATTAGTATTTAGTGTGAGAGATCAACTCATGGAGAAATAGTGAGTCCAGATCATGTACAACACACATCAGATCTATAAAACAGATATACACCCACCTCCTTAGAAAACGAATTGGAAATTATTCCTAGAGTTTCACATGAAACTTCTTCCATATTATCCAGATTTAGCTTCTGATTATTATATGTGAGAAATACAAACATGTCTGGAAAACACTCAAAGATTAATTTTAATAGAAAATTTATTCTGAGTGAACATGGTACAAAAATAGACTTTTTACCTATATGTATTTTTCCAGATATATAGACCATGAAAATAAATGGTGGTTCAATTATAATATTCAGCTTTAAAAAGTGAGAATGTAGTATCTTAAAGGCATTCATAAAATTTCTGAAAACTTTGTCTACATTTTGGTTGAGTTAGGCCACATGAATATTTCCTGACATCTCCAGGGTCTCCTGAGGAGGGCTGCCTTGACTTTCATCCTCCTCAGGAACATCCTGCAGAGCTCTCTGAAGAATTAGTTTTAGGCTCTTTCTTTGCTGTCTTTGCTGCTGCCTATAAGAACCAACAACGAAGTAAATGATTGGATTGGCACAGCTGTTGACACAGGATAACACCTTTGTCCTTAAATGTACTTTAAAGGTGTCCCTGTAAGCAAATTTTTGCATCCCAAATATGAGAACATCACGTATTCCCCAGGGCAAGCTACAGAAGAAGAAGACCAGCACTGTGAGCCCAATGGTCACATACAGCCTGGTCAGTTTCATTTTCAGGGAGCCACACAACAATATGGCCAGCAGCACCAGGATGGACCCAAACATAAGCACAAAGGAGAAAATTAGCCATGTGGGAATGCTGAAATAAATGATATAATACAAATTACTATCACTATGCATGAGCCATAAGCCAAAGAACTCTGTACGTAGGATGGTCAGGAACAGGGACAGGGCCCAGATTAAGGCACAGATGACAGATGACATATGTTTTGGGCGGTCGCAATGATACCAGATGGGTTTTAGGACAGACAGGCAGCGCTCAGTGCTAATGGCAGTGAGAATGCTCAGGCTTGCAAGATAGGAAAAGACAAATCCTAAAAAAAAAAATTGTTCCAGGTGGATGAAGTATATACATTCAGCCAAATTCATAATGGAGATTAGCATGTGGAGGCATAGAAAGACAAAATCAGCTCCAGCCAAGTTGAGGATGTAGACAGAGAAAGCATTCCTCTGCATGTGGAAAGCCAGGAGCCAGAACACCACAGCATTTCCTGCCATCCCCACCAGGGAAATGATGAATTCCACAATGTGTGAGGTCAGCCAAGGCATTTCACCTTGTCGATCAAAGTCCTCCCAGTCACTTTCATTCTGCAGTGTGCTTTCGGTCACCCAAGGTGTGACAGTTACATCCATGCTCAGAAACTCTCTGATGGTCTCCTGGAAACACAAATGAGAAAGAATTTTCAGTATGATTATGGATCCTCATGGCCATAAGGGTACCTGATACCAGAGAGGAGCAATTTATAGAGCCTATGCAGGCCACACAACTTTGACATCCATATTTGGACTCTTTCTGAGAATCCTTAACCACAACTTTTCACAAAAATTAAATGTTCTCAGTTTCTAATTTTTCCACTAGTTTTCTAGACCATGTCCCATCACACACTGTATTGAGGGGAGTTTTCTGGGCAGGATGTAATACGACTGCAGAACTCTGAAACCACCTTCTTGTTCTCTGGGCTTTCTGTTCTTCAGAGGCATGAACTATGTGACATCTCCGTGACTGAAAATGACCCATTCACAGAAAATAAGACCAAAGGATATGAACGAATATGACCCTGAAGTCAAAGGTCTGTTAAGGTCCATATATCAGCTCTCTTAAAACAGGGAGCTCTTACTCATGTTCATTAGTTTGTCCCAATGCCTCCGTTTGTTAGGGTCACAATGGGTCATTAGGATATAGGTAACAAATGAGTGATGGATGTTTGGAACTAACCACCAGTGTGTGTGAAGATGAGGGTAGGTAAGATAGAGAAGAGGCCACTATGAAAATAATAGCTGGGAGTAATAATGCTGGACTTGATTGGCAAAATTAGATGGTTAAAAGGAGGAAAGGGATATTCTTGATAATCTTTCAGTATTTGCAAACCACAATGCCCAAAAGGAAATAGATATATAGGTAGATAGATAGATAGATAGATAGATAGATAGATAGATAGATAGATAAAGAAGTACAAAAGTGTGGACAAGGGAGTAGGATGGAATCTGGGACCATTAGTGGTGGAAAATGTACACTGGTGAAGTGATGGGTATTGGAACACTGTATGACAGAAATCTAATCATGAATGATTTTGTAATGCTCTAAAAATAAACTAAAAAGAAAAATATCAAAAAGAAAAGAAAGGAAAAATTTTAAAAAACAGGTAAATACAGAAGTATCATTACTTATCCTTATTTGGAAAGTTTTTGTGTCTGAGAGTATTCGTTAAACATGCACAATGACTAGTTCAGTCTTCTGTGAGCTTAAAAGACAAGATAATCTAGTAGGCACTTGCTAATAATAAAGGATATTGTTTATCGAAATAAATAAAAATTTAATGAAATACCGGCAAGCTTCAGGGAGTATCCTGCCCGCACAGCAAAGCCTTGAAAGCTACTCATGATGTACATGATATGCCAAACACAGTAACAAAAATTTTCACAATGCAGACGTTACTGGGCTTGCTTGAGCAAATTGATGAACAGTGGGAGGACAGTGCTACAGTGTAGTATGGAAAAAGGCATCCATGCAATGGAGAGAGTTGGCAGTGGGGCTGAGAGTGTTAAATAAATAATGACAGACTTCATTATTTACTTATGAAAGTATAGAAGACAGGTAATATTTGTAAAGTTTTATTATGCAATTCTACAGAGAATTCTTTGAAAAATAGGGTAGGATACTGTTTTTTGTATCCTTTTGTGCTTTTTGGGCCACACCCACCAATGCTCAGGGGTTACTCCTGGCTCTATACTCAGGAATAACTTATGGCAGTACTTGGGGGGACCATATGGGATGCCGGGGATCAAACCCAGGTCGGCTGCATGCAAGGCAAACACCCTACCCAAAGTACTATTGCTCCAGGCACCATGATATCTAGGAATTTATTTTAAAGTTTGTGGCATACCTTTTGATTCCCAGAGGTTAATCTTGGATATTTATACATAAACTACTCCCTGACATGCTCAGTGGACCATATGGGATGCTGGGGCTGGAACGTAGGCTGGACTCATGGAAAGCAAATGTCTACTGTGTCCTATCACCAGGCCCCATGGATATTGGTTAATGGTCATGTGCCTTTTTGTTCAATTTTATTTTATTTATATATTTTTTATTTATCTGTATTTTTATTTTATTTTTTAAATATTTATTAGTGAAACACCATGAGGTACAGTTGTAGACTTACAAATTTTTGTGCTTGGGTTTCAGTTATACAATGATCAAGTACCCATCTCTCCACTAGTGCCCATTCTCCACCACCACTGTTCCCAGTATCCCTCCCTCCCCCCATTCCTCCGATCCCACCCTGACCCTGGGCAGGGCATTCCCTTTTGTTCTCTCTCTCCTTTTGGGTGCTGTGGTTTGCAAAAGAGTCATTGAGTGGCAATCATGTTCAGTCTATAGTCAAACCCATCAAAAAATGGGGTGACAAAATGAACATAAACTTTCTCAAAGAAGAAATCTGAATCGCTAAAAGGCACATGAGAAAATGCCCTACATCTTTAATCATCAGGCAGATGCAGATCAAAGCAACATTGAGGTATGATTTCACATCCCAGAGACTGGTCCACATCCAAAAGAACAAAAGCAACTGGTGTTGGCGCGGATATGGCGAGAAAGGGACCCTCCTACTTGCTCGTGGGAATGCTGAATGGTTCAGAACTTTTGGAAAGCGGTATCAACGATTCTCAAAAAATTAGAAATTGAGCTCCCATTTGACCCAGAAATATCACTCCTTGGAATATATCCTAGAGAGATTAAAAAAAGTATAGTCGAAGTGACATCTGCACTTGTTTGTTCATGTGCCTTTGATCAGAGTGATTTTCAATATAAACACAAATGATCATTTGAACTTCAACTTGTGAATAGTTGGCAAATCAAGGTGAAGAAGAGCAACCGGATTAGTTTCATTCAAGATAAAACTTCTGTCTTCATCTTCTTCAGAAAAATTTAAGTTAACAGACCAAAATTGCTGACTCAGAGAGGTTGACAGGAAGAACTGAGTAGAGGGCCTTTTTGGTTATGTCACGATACTAAGATCCAGCAGGTGAGTATGGTGAGTGAGTGAATTATGTAAAGGGATAAAATTAAGGCTTGACCTTAATATCTAAATAATTGTAACCATCTAAACTAATTTAAAAAGACTGAAAATGCTAAGTAAATACTATATATCTATATAGAGTAAAAAAATAGAAGCACAAAGTGTTTGAGTGGTAGGTACCTGATTGCATGCATACAATTGGTATAGTGCTGTTCTGAATATCTAGGTCTAAGTCAGTTACTTTTTCTTTACCCTTACCAAATCTACAGATCCACTTGTAGAATGGAATGACACCTACTTAAAGAGAAGTGAGAGAATGATGCCAGTAACTCTTACACAGATCCCATGAGGAATATTTTGATATGGGATTTTTTTTGCATAGCCTGGTTTATAAGATTTTAAATGTTAAAGATATTTTGTAAAATATAAGGAAAGGGTGTTTAACACTTAAAACCGTTTTTAATATTCCAAGCATCACACATTTGCTTTGATTTCACTTCCCTCATAATTGTCTCAGTGTCCCAACCCCAGCGTATTCTTCCTCCCTTTTCACCTCAGTTTCATACATTTTTTATTGAAGTTCAGTTCTCGGTTTCTGTGGGTTGGTCTTGGGGAATTTTTTCCCCTGACATTATTTCTTTATATGAGACAGATTATTCTATATATATGTCTTTCTCCTAACTTCATTTACAATAAGATCCATCCAGATAGCATAGTTGGATGTTATTTATTATTTGAAGCCTCCTAAGAACAGTGCTTAAGGGCTCAAATCCCTTGATGCTAGGAAAGATAACCTTTGTTCTACCAAGCAGAAGACTAAAATGGTCAGAGGACACTCTTCTGCCTTACCCCCACAGTGAAAGGAAGACTAATTTTCCTAGATATGATGAATAAACCATCAAATATATTTTGGGTCTTGCAAGCTTGGTTGACAGATGAGAGGAGGGAAAGTACAAACCTATTTCCATCCAACAGGGTGAATGTTCTATTCATTAATGTCATTGAACACAAATGTCAATTGTGATAAATGCTTGTCTTTTTTGCCTTTTGACAGAAACCTTAGAAACCCAAACTTTCTTCATTTTTGTTGTGTCTTGCAATATGCTCATTTTTATAATCTCCTCATGCAGCAGTATTCACTTTGACTATTTATTATAAAAGCATTGCTAACTCAGAAGAAGACAAATTATGGAGAATAAATGAGTTTTGAGCTGGGTAGTCAACATCCTGATCCAAGAGCCATGCCTAAGGAATTTCAGGTTCTCTGCCACATCACATATAATGAGAGGAGTTTCCATCAAATGTCTCTGAAGGGGTAGTTTCTGAGAAGGAATCAGGACTGTAGATTCTCCTCAGAAATATTATTGAGGGTGTGGAAACAGGGCTGCCTGATTTTGAATGGTACCAAGCAATTGGGTTCTGTCAACCCTGAGCACCTGATTTGAGAAATGCAGAGGTTAGACACAGACTCCCTGTTTTCTGCCTTTACTTTCTCCCATAGCTGGTGGCTACATATCACAGAAGAACACACTGTTAATAAAATTCTTTAACTTTTTCATTTATTTTTAAAATTTGGAATAAATCAAAAGGCAGAAGAATGGCTTCTCAAGACTTAGGTTCATTTTAGCTATTGTAGTTCATTTAAACTACATTTGTTATTCTTTCTTCAAAAATCAAAATCATGAACACAAAATAATTAGAAATATTAGCTTCCCACCATATTTTTAAATAAAATTCAGATTTTCCTGTCAATAATTTATCATAATAGTAAGAAATGAGAAATGATAAATCATTCAAAAGAAATTATACAGTTGGATATTGACAACCAAAAAAAAATAAAGCAGTCAGTTATGTGGAATGTAGTGAATAAGTGATTCATCACCCAGAGAAATTGCCATAAACTACCATCTAACAGGTATACTTCAGAAGGTAGAGTCCTTTGCCTTTTTTCACCAAATCCTATATATATATTCTCCATAGATTATGCATCTTAAAAAAATATCTCTGTCTCACAGATAGATTCCCATTTCTTATGACTCTGGTGCATCCAGGAAAACAAGACATGAAAAAAAATGTGAGGACAGTAATTTGCAATACCTTCTCACTGCAAGGTTG